CTAAAACCTCTCTATGTTAATGTCACTTCATCGCAGCTCAACACGGAAACACAACAAGGGAATTCTGTACTGAAAAGATTGTAACTAAATGTTCATATGGCCACCTGACTATCATTGACAGATGTCAAAAGCAACAAACCACCCCGTCAATACTCATTTATGGTTCCAGAAAATATTTCTAATCCAACAGAAAAATAAACAATTTAAAAACCAACTGGATTATCCGATCAACTATTTTTTAAACAATACAATTCATTAATTGTCACAAAGCTAAAACTGGTTGTTTTTTAAGCCCATAAATATTGACACTTTAGAGATCTTTACAGGAGAGCAATTACAATGTAAAAGCATGAAGAAGCAGAGTTTTTAAAAGATTATTTACCTGTTGACAAATGACCCGTCTGAATCCAGGTGCGCAAGTTGGAGAAGATGAAAGTGTTTGTTGTTTAGCAGCAGTTTCTTTCCACGATGCTGTGCCAACGCAGTGCCACATACATAACATTCTATCTACTTGCTAAACCTGTTCATCCCGTTCAAGGCTGTAAGAGTATGCGCCCGCTGGCACCACTCGCATGTAGAAACTGCATTTTGGGGAATCTAATTATCAGCTTTCTGGAGGAGAATGAGCCGATCAGATCAATGCCACTCTTATGTCTGTCCTTTAAAAACTGAAGGCAGTGAGCTTAGCTAATCATAAAGACTGGAAACAGAAGAAAACCAGTTGTGGAAGAACCCTCGGAGCATTTACCTATATAAAAGTACCAGTACAACAATGTAAAAAATACTTCATGAAAGTCTTGCATCTTGGATCTTTCATAAGATGAAATTGACAGGGGTTGTTGATTTATTTTCTTATATTTTATTATGTTTAACAATCGCATCATATGTGCAATCTTATTCTGAAAACTAACTAACTATAGCTGTAAAATAATACGGTGCATAATATAGTACAGAGAAACAAATAAGGGGCTCCTACACAAGAGGTCTTCTTCTTGACCCTCCCTCTTTGTCCTTAAATATCACAGAGATACCTTTAGTGTCTGGAGGAAATGGTGGTGGAGAAAAGCATGGGGGACATGGTTCCAGGTGAAACCTGGGAGACATGATGAAGGCAAAGGAGCTGTGGGGATAGGTACTGGCCTGGGGGGCATGGTGCTGAAGGGAGGCTTAGGGGTTGTTGGGCTGGCCATTGGTATGATGCTTGGGAGATGGACAAGGGTGTGGAGCCATACATTAGCATCGGGGTTGGGGGCTAGACATTGACATGGTGCTGTGAGAGAAGCATAGTGGTTTTGAGTCTAGAACTTTACAAGATGCAGGGGAAAGGTGTATGATTGTGGGGCTAGACATTGGCATGGTGCTCGTGAGATGTATAGGGATTGTTGTGCTAGACATTGGCACAATGCTGTGGAGATGGATAAGGGCTGTAGGGCTGGAAATTGGCATGATGCTTGGCGAGGCATAGAGGTTGTGGGGCTAGACTATGCATGTGCTCGAGAGAGACACATGCGGGGGTTGTGGGGCTATGCATTGGCATAGGGATTTTGGGGCTAGACGTTGACATGATTCTGGGTGAGGCATAGGGCGCTGTGGGGCTGGACATTGACCTTGTACTGGGGAGTGGCATAAGGCTTTTAGGGTTGGACAATGGCATGTTGCTTGAACAAGGCGTAGGGGTTGTGGGGCTAGATATTGGTAATGGGGTGTGGTGCCAGTAAGAAGCTGTCCACTGCAATACTCTCCACCTACTCACCTGAATGTCCAGGTGAATGCTATTCAGCTTGTAGAACTTGTCTTCATTGCTGATGGACTTCAGGAAGCTCATAACAGTTTTAATTTTGGAGTATTTAATCATCAGAACCTTGTGAGTGGCTGGAGTGCTGCAGAGTTTCCCCAGAGCGTTCCACTACAGCAGAGATTCAGACCTGCCGTCTTTGTTTGATGGTGAGGTGAGAACCAGTTCTTCTTGGGCTTTCATTCTGTAAGGCAACTGGTTTGCAGGGCTCCTCACAATCTCAGTCTTCTTGTAGGTTGTTAGACAAAGGGTCAAGGCCTAATCCACAAGGGACAGGTATGGATCTACTATCCATGATAAGCTGTAGAGATAGAGAGTCGGTTAGCTTGGATTGAAATACACTGGTGCATCAGTAAAGTCAATTTATCAACACTGAACTCAACCCAGCTGAACTCGACTGAAACTAACAAAGCTTCCTCTAAATCACTGCTCCTTCTGCTGTCTTGTGTTTTTTTTCCTTGCAGGTAGAAATGGGAGGAGCTTTCAGTCCTGATGTCTTTCACCTGAGCAGGATGAGCTGTTAAGCCCGACTCATTCTGACCCAATTCCAATCCAGTCTCTACACCAGGGGTCACCAACCTTTTTTAAACTGAGAGCTACTTCAAGGGTACCGAGTAGTACGAAGGGCTACTTATTTGATACAAACTTCCTGAATAACAAAGTTGCACAGATCGCATTTTAATAATAATAATATATGTGAAGAGACTGTTTGATCACATGTCAGTTAATTATTCCTCACAATAATTATTAACAATGATTTCCACAACAATGATGATAGCTACACATATATATTTAAACATGCAACTTTTATTTCTGTTAATCTGTTTCAACATTTGAAAGTCAGAGGTATCACATCTCTGATATTTTTGTATCATCACATGATCAAAGCCGGTTACTTTTGCACATAGCGCCTGCTGGTGAATGATGCAGTGGTAATGTAGACATTTTGGGAAGTCTGGGTCACCTTTACATTGCGCAATGAAGCCTGCATGCCGGCCCGTCATCGCGGGAGCCCCGTCTGTTGTCACCGACACCAGCTTTTCCAACTGTACCTTTTTCTCCACGAAGAAACTAGTAAAAAGTCTCGTCTATAGCCGAGGGGGGGATCCAACCCTCCGAGGCGCGCGAGCGTCTTCGGGCGCCCGCGTTTAAACCTCTAGTCTGGGCCTTTTCGGTCGGATTGCGTTGCTTCGCCTCTACCCCCGCCACCCCTGAGTTGTTGCCCTGTTCCGAGGATTTGCGGACCTGACGACGGGGTGCGCTTGCTGCGAGCTTCTGGCGCCAACGGGAAGCACCCGCCATTCGGAACCTGAAAACCTAGTGCGGCGGCCTCGTCCTGGCACCCAACTCTCTGATGACAAGAAATATTGTCATTTTAAAATCTACAATAATGCAAGCGTTTTTGATTAAAAAAGAACAGCAACTACAATTTTAGACGGAGCTCCATGGTGACTAGTGCTATTTTTAGAACATGCCTTGCGGGCGACTCACGTGGTCCCTGCGGGCGACAGGGTGCCTGCGGGCACCGTGTTGGCTACCTCTGCTAATGTTATCATGAATTGGGTTTACAGCAATATGTTCTAGGTGTCGGTCACACTCATTAGTCCAGCAGTGCTTAGTTACTGAGCCACATCTGAAAACAGTCGCAATTTTACATTTTTAATTCAGTATGACTTACCTAACGTATCATTATCCTCAATATACTTTGTCAATAAATGTCCATAAATGTGCCTACAGGACAAAGAGGCTCATTATCACTTGCTGTAGAATTATCACGCATTTAGGCTTACTTGAGTATCAGAGTAATCCAGTGATGTTAGTCCGTACATCCATGGGTACATTGCAAACAGGGACTGCTAACAGCAAATGTAATAATTTTAATAGTGCTAATTTGCCAAAAATCGCAGTTGTAGCTCATAGTGTAACTAACTTAATCTATGGCAACACTGAAACACCCTGGTTTAGTCTAACTGTCAGAAATTAGGAGGAAATTGCCAAAAACAATTTCCTAAAGCTCGAGCAGATGGGCACAGAAGGAAAAGCACAGGTGTAACTTCAGAATGGCTGAATTCCATTTAGCTGTTTAGGT